CAAGATTATCTTCTGTGTCTGTGTTAATTGGTTTCCCTTTTCTTTGTTGAAGAGGGTCTGTGCAATCCTTCTGCCTAGTCCGCCATCTTGCCCCCCCCAACTTCTACTTTTTTGATGACATTTTTCATGTTGTGCCACCATTGTTGCTGGCCTTTTCCAAAATATTCCATGGGGTGGACTTTCCAAGCCAAAGGATGTAACATATTTTGGGAACTAATGGTAGGGTTGCCCACTTGTAAAAGGTGCTTTTGCCAGACCCTTGCAACCTGGGAGTCAACCAGTCAGGATTTAAACTGAGGCCTGTTTGCCCAGGCACCTGCTCCGTCCCCACTTCTCCCTTAATCCCTCACCATACCTGCTGTACTTGTCCAGGTAGCTGCCAAGGGCCTGCTTGGATCACAGGTTACAGTGAGTGCTCTGAGCCCTGGACAAAGATACCACATTAGCTTCTGTTGTTTTATCCTCAGAATATATATGACCTGGATGAAGATGATGATAGTGTAACTCCTGTTCCTACTAAACAGATGAAATACGCAGCGTCATGCGGCTTTCTCCACCACGTGGTATGGCATTTTATTTTATTTATTGTAAAATTTTTACTGTGGTAAGATATATAGCGCAAAACATTTGCCATTTTGCCAGCATTTTCTGTTTCTGTGCACTTAACTGTGTGTGAGCAGGAGGATGGGAGGGGTAGGGGAGCGTAGGCACTTCACTTCCACAGTGTTTCTTCATTTGGATCATGCCATTTTCAGAACTGGAATTAGCCCCACCCCTTGGTTTTGGAAATGCTGAGACTGCCCTGTCCCTGTACTCACTGAGGTGCAGAGGTGTGGCTCTCAGTTGCTATGTGTAAGACCCTTCAGGGAGAAGAGAGTGGGACTTCCATTTTCCTTCCTTTGTGCTGGGCTGGCCTGCGAGCTCCCAGCCCTCCACACTCAGCACTCCGGGCACAGTCTTTGACCTTGGATCCCCTTCGTTGTGCGTTTGCACAAACAAATCAGATCCCTGTATGCAGGGAAACGCGGTGGCAGGAGGCCAGTCTTACCCAGTGGAAGGAGAGCAGCACCTGAGAAGCAGCGGGAAGGGCTGTGCGGGTCACGGGATGTCGCCAGCTAGCGGTGGGGCTGTCCTCCTAGGCCCAGAGACTTCCATCTTGGTCACTTCCCTGAGTGTGTGGACTGATCTCCCAGTTACTAATAAAGCTCTTGAAGTGAGGTGTGAAGCTGAATGGTGCCTGTTTGTTTCTTTACGAAAATCTAAACCTTTCTGATAATTAGACTGCTTGCGTTGGCTACTAGGGGCCTAGTACCTTAAACCACCCCCCCCCAAAAAAAAAAAAAACTCACTGCCAAACTCATTGCCGTCGAGTTGATTTTAACTCATAGCGACCTTTCCGTGGGTTTCTGAGTCAGTGTCCCTACAGAAGTAGGGGAGCGACTGGACTCAGTGGCTAATGCTAATTGAGAATTTAAAGTTCTAAACACTTTATCTTAATTCATAGAAGAGTCCGCCCCTCCCTCCCCCAGCTCTCCCACCCTGTGAGGTGGGTACTGTTGTTATTCCCATCTTACAGACAAAGGTGTCAGGCACGGGGGTTAGATCATCTGCCCCTGTCACCCAGCTTGTAAATAGTGGGTCCAGGCCTAGAGCCTAAGCTGCCTGGCTCCTTTTAAGCGCTATCCCACTCTGGCTCCTGAGACTCAGGGCTGCTCGGGAGTGTTGAATCCAGCAGGGGAGGGCTCTTGCATCCTGTCTTGGAAAAGCCTGCCAGATTGACCTTGCCCCATGCTCTGATCTGCCTCTCTGGCTGCTGTGTCTTCCTGGGTCAGCACCTGGTCAACACTGCCCTCCACTTGCTTGACCACCTGCCACTCCTGCTTCACTCATTGTTTCCCTCGGACACATTACGGCATATTTGACTGATGTATCTTCCTGAGGGACCTCATCCCAAGTTGGGGGAAAGAGCTGTTTCTGACGGTCTGCAGGTGCTGCCTGTGCTGGCATGTCCCCACCAGGCTGGAAGCTGGTGACACAGATGATCTCCTTAGACCACACACCCTGGCAGGCCTGTGCATGGTGCCTCTCTATGACTGGGTTCCTGTGTCCACCCATCCTGGAGCCAGGGAACTGACCATTTTGATAGAAGCATGTCTTGGAATAAACTTGACCCCAAGCTTTTGGCCTTCTGCCTTGCCCTAAATTTTAGAGTTTTTCATAAAGTGTAAATGGTATGTGTGGGTGAGCCTGTGGTTCTGGGTGAGTTTCCTGGTCAGTGCCGTGTGGAAGCTTCTTACCAAGGGCTTTGAACGGTATGGAAAGCTGCTCACGTGAGCGTGTTTGCAAGCTCTGTTTTCCTCTCCTCACTCCCCTTTTGTCCCTATGGGATGTCCCTGGCAACCACAGCCTTTTTGGCTCCAGGCCTCTACTGGAATTGAGACATTGAAGGCAAGTTGTCAGCCATTCACTCAGCCGGTCGTCTGCCTCTTGGGGCTTCAGAAGAGTCCCTGGTCTCTGGCTTCTGAGTTCCTTTATGCCCCTTTGTTTAGGCTGAGCTGAGCAGTTCCAAACTGTCCTTGTCCAAGGCCCTCCCTCTCACCAAAGTGGTCCAGAATGATGCCTATACAGCTCCTACTCTTCCCCCCATTCGAACAAAAGCCTTGACCAACATGTCCCGGACACTGGTGAGCAAGGAGGAATCCCCCACAGAGCTGCCACCTGCTGAGGTGAGTTAAAGACGAAGGAGAGGAAGTGACTGCACGAGTTGAGAGTCAGCCTGTGTTGGGTGGCCAGTGTGCTGGGCTGTGAGTATAGTCCCAGTTTGGTCCTCACAGTGCCTTTGTGAAGTAGGTGTTGTCCCTCTCATTTCATAATCATTTAAAGTAAAGTAAGACCTGGAGTTCTCTGCCCTCATATGCTAGCAGGCTGGTGGGAAAGGCAGAACTGCAGACAGATCGCTGCGTCTCATGACACAGGAGAGGAGAGCAGAGGAGAGCAGTTGGGAGCACTGAGGAAAGAGCATCTAACTCCACTTGGGAAATGGGAAGGCTTCAAGGACAAAGTACCATTTGACCTGGGTGGGTCTTGAAACACGAGTAACATTCCAGGCCCTGCCAGGCAGGCGTAGAGGCCTGAAAGGGCCCAGAATAGTTGAGAAATGAGAGGTTCTCTCTCCTTAGTGTGGGTGATGGAAGTGTGATGAGGTCAGAGGGGCCTGATTGAGACAGACCCCCCCCCATGATGCTTTCTCTGGACCTCTGTGCTCACTTACCTGGAGTGAGTTTTGTTTGTGTGAGCACATCCCTGTTCTCTGACCTCTGATAATGCCCTTGTCTTTGTGGCAGCCTGTCCTCAGCCCCCTGGAAGGTACCAAGATGACTGTGAACAACCTGCACCCTCGAGTCACTGAAGAGGACATCGTTGTGAGTACTGTGGCCTACCAGAATTTTAAATCTCAAACTCCTTTTATGTCAGGGGTCCCAGCACCACCTCCAGGTTTGATGATCTGCTGGAGGGACTCATAGGACTTGGCATACAGTTGTACTCATGGCAAAAATTTGTTACGGCAGTGGGAAACAAAACAAAGTCAGCAAAGGAAAAAGGCATATGGGGCAAAGTCCAGGGGAAGCTACATGCAAGCTTGTGACCTCTCTTCCCGAGTGGAGGCATACTTCATCCCCTAGCAACATGTGACAACATGTGAAATACTGCTTACTAAAAAAGTTCACTGGGAGTTCTGGTGGCGTAGTGCTATGTTAGGCTGGGTTCTCTGTTGTTCTCCAGAGAAGCAAAACCAGTAAAGCTTATATATACATCTAGAGAAGGAGGAATTTATCTTAGGAAAATGGCTCACACATTTATAGAAGCTGGCAAGTCCCAAGTTCTTGACTCAAACGTCAAGCTAGAGGCTTTTCCCTACTCACACAGCTACAGGGGCTGACGAGCTCGAGGTTGGCAGGCAGCATACTGGCTGTTGACGCCAACGAATGACGAATCCGAGATCTCCAGGCTGAATGGTGGATTGTTCTCACGGACAGTTGTAGGCAGCACAACAGGATCCCAATCTACAGAAGAGTGTCTCTTTTCCCAGGATGTCCATAAATATACTGGAAGCAGGCCACACCCCTAAGAAAACTCCCTTTCAACAGATTGGCTGCTCAAAATGTATACATCTGATCCCATCATGGAAATAACCCCCATCATGATTGCTTAAACCACACAGAATTGTGGTCCAGCCAAGTTAACACACAGCTCCAACTCTCACAATACGTAAGGCATTTGACTATGAACCAGAAGGCTGACGATTCAAACCCACCAGCCACTCCTTGGAAGGAAGACTGGGCAGTCTACTTCATAGAGATACCACCTTGAAAACCAAGGAGGGGTCGCTGTGAGTCAGATCTGACTCGATGGCAGTGAGTTTTAGTTGAGGAAAGCTCACTAGAGACTCCATGCCAGGGAGTCTGTTGGCACCCTCTACGTAGCACTTAAAAAATTCCAGACTTCCATAAGGAAAGTGAGTGTTCAGCATGAACCATATTATTTGCACGGACAGTTAGCACAGTGAGCCGCTTTTACCAGTTCTGTGAAGTCTAACTTCCTAGGTTCCAGCCAGGGGCCAACCTCATAAGCAGGCCCTTTCAGAGGCTGGCAGGCCACAGTCAGGCCTGCTGTGTCAATGTGTTGCTCATAGTTTCTTCACCAGGGCCAGGTAACTGGCTTCACCCTCAGGGTGAGGGACCGATGGTGCCTGAATGGGTCCTAAATGAGATCCTTTCGTCTCACTGTGTACCATCCAGCGGCTGAGATTGTCCTGTGAGCTATCAGAATTCCCTGCTGCCTGTGGGGTTTACATGAGGAAAGGTAAAAGGAATTAGATGAACTGGTGTTATCTGGTGGTGACTGGATGATCCTTCTGGTCTGTCCTGTCTCACCTGTGCTGGTCACGGGTGAGCACTAATTCAGATGCCTGTTGATGGGGCTGGATGCAGGCACGACTTCCTTCTCAACCTCATTTTCACTGAGCCACCAGAAAGCCATAAGTTCAGAAATTCAGGCAGCAATTTAACTCTAAACTGTCAGGTCACAAATGAATGGGACCAGAGACTCCAGCCTCCCACAGAAAAGTCCCAGGTTTTATAAGAGCCCACACTGGCTGCCACCTTTGTTAAAGGTGTTAATTGTGAAACACCCAACTGCTGTGAAACAAGCAGGCTCCACAATGGGTCTGTTCTCTCTTTCAGAGCTATTCCAGTGAACAGCGCACATGAGAAGGGAAATTGTTGCCTACTTTGTATAATCCTTGATAATTTATAAATTTTCCCTGACTATAGAAGTAATAATGGCTATCACTGATTGAGCGCATACTGTGTGCCAGGCAATTTGTATGTAGAATTTTTGACAATACAGAGTGGTGGTGGTGGTGGTGGTGTTGTTGTTAGGTGCCGTCAAGTCAGCTCTGCCTCAGAGCGACTCTGTGGACAGCAGAATGAAACACTGCCCAGTCCTGTGCCGTCTTCACAGTCTTTGCTGTGCTTGAGCCACTCTGTCAGTACGTCTCATTGGGATGACTCTCCACTTCACCAAGCATGATAACCTTTTCTCCAGGGACCAGTTCCTTCTGACAAATGGCCAAAGCAGGTGAGACGAAGTCTGGCCATTCTCACTTCTGAGGAGCATTCTGGCTGCACTTCTTCCGGGACAGATCTGTCCCTTCCTCTGGCGTCTGTGGAATTTTCAGTGGTCTTCGCCAACATCACATTTCAAAGACATCAACTCTTGTCTGGTCTTTCTTATTCATTGTTCAGATTCCACATGCTTATGAGGCAGTTGAAAATTCCATGGGTTGGGTTAGGAGCACTTTAGTCTTCAAAGTGACATCTTTGCTTCTTAATATTTTAAAAAGGTCTTTTGTAGTAGATTTACCTAGTGTCGTACGTCATCTGCTTGACTGCTGTGATGTTGCTTACTGGTCCAGTTATGAGGATTTTTGTTTTCTTTATGTTGAGGTATAATCAATACTGAAGACTGTAGTCTTTGATCTTCATCAGCAAGTGCTTTATGTCCCCTTCACTATCAGCAAGCAAGGTTATTAATGAGCCTTCCTCCAATCCTGATGCCATATTTTTCTTCATATTGTCCAGCTTCTTGGATTATTTCCTCAGCATACAGATTGAATAAGTATATTGAAAGGATACAACCCTGACACACACACTTCCTGATTTTAAGCCACACAGTATCCCTTGTTCTGTTAGGATGACAGCTTCTTAGTGTATGTACAGGTTCCTCGTGAGCACAGTTAAGTATTGTGGAATTCCCATTCTTTGCAATGTTATCCATAATTTGTTATGATCCACACAGGTGAATGCCTTCACATAGTCAATAAAACATGGTAGACATCTTTCTGGCATACAAAATAGTGAAAAACTAATCATCCATAATGATCATCACTCAGAAAATTGTCAGGAATAACCACTGTCATTTCTTTTCTGTACAAATAGGCAATATTTAAACAACAGCAGGATCTCAGCTAGTAGTTCATTTTCTTGGTTTTTAACATTTCCTCCTTTATCATTAGAAGCAAATCCTTTAAAGGCCTTTTAATGAGCTTTCTTTTTTGGTTCTCATCCCAGCCTTGTGGTGGGTAGTTTGCAGAAGAAGAAAGGCTTGGGTTCGAGTCAGTTTCTGACCTGTCCAGACTGTATTCCCTCTCTGCCTTCAGTCTCTTGTCTGTGAAATGAGGAAGGGACTGGAGTCAATGATAAGATGATGGCAGCTGTGTACATTATACATTATCTTAGCTGAGCTTATGACAACCCTGGGGAGTAGGTCAGTCCTTCCCTGCTTATTTTCACAAGACAAAACTTGGCTTCAGAGAACTTAAAAAAACTTGCTGGAGGTCACACAGTTGATAGGAGGCAGAGCCAGGGATGAAACCCAGGTCTGACTGACTTGGGGTGATCAACATCCCTGGTTTGCCAGGGACTGCCCTAGTTTGAATACTGAAAGCACCATGTCCTGGGAAACCCCTCAATCCATGCAGATTAGGACGGTTGGTCACCCTGGGTGTAGCTCCAAAATTGGTATTTCTACTAAAATCCCACGTGATGTGTTAGCCACATGAGTGAGCCTATATTTCCTTTCTCATTGAGGCATTTGTTTGCTTCTGTGTTCATTTGGGGAGACCGTATACTCCTGTATCGGGTAGGCTATGATCTTTACAGAAGCCCATTGCTAGGCCTAGTTCTTCATGGAACCTGCTGGGTGGGTTGGAACCATACTTTGATTTTTAGGATAGAGCTCTTTGAGAGAAGCTCCATAACTGTTAACCCTGTTGGAGGAGTGGGCACTGAAGCAAGAGGATTTTGGTTATGACTTCTGAAAGTCACAGGTATTTCTAGGCTTACAAGCCCAGGCTCATTTCTCACTGCCGGCACAGCTTATCCCCTTATCTGGGCCTATGCTGAGGCCTGTGAGTGTCCTGGGAACATTACCTAAAATAGAACCTGTTTAGAATTGTGGGTGCTAGGCATATGCAGCTGGAGTGCAGCCACCAACCTACCCAGAGTGTGTGGATGACAGGCAGTGAGGATGGCTGCTAGAAATTCTCTCTAACGCAACCCCTCTTTTCCTTTACAGGAGCTTTTCTGTGTGTGTGGAGCCCTCAAGCGGGCTCGGCTGGTCCATCCCGGGGTAGCAGAGGTGGTTTTTGTGAAGAAGGATGATGCCATCACTGCATACAAGAAGTACAACAACCGGTGTTTGGATGGTAAGTCAGGGAAGAAGCAGCCACTGCTGCCTTCGCATTCTGTTCACCGGCGGGCAGCAGGTCTTCAAGAGCCCTCCCCTGAGATGGGTGGGAGGTCCCATCACCTTTGGGGGCTCCCTTTGCACCAAGAGCAGGCAGGGTGCCCAGTCTCTGGATACTGCTGAACTGCAGGTTCCATAGAACCTTTGATTTTCACCCAGCCCCAAGCTAGAAGGAAAACTCATTTCTCCATGAGTGGCTCTTAAAGGGTCTTGCCTGGGAAGCTGAGGAGCAAGCCATAGCCTTCTTCTACATAGTGGTGTACTTAACTCCCAAATCATGGGTTCCTCAGAGCCCAGGGGCTTGGTCTTACTATTGGCACCTTAATAATAAATCATTCTTTTACTTTCAACTTTCTTGTATCTTTGAACCTAAAGTGTATGCCTGCAGACAGCATGTAGTCAGATCTGTTCTTTGTTTAATCCACTCTGACAGCCTTTTCATAGGATTATTTAAGTATATTGCATTTCTATTACATTCTGTTACAGCTCCAATGATACTGTTACGTACATATTGTATTATTAAAGTGGGAAGGGAGCAGAAGAAATAAACCTTTATAATATCTTTCATAATTACTTATAATTAAGTAATTAATTATAAAATTACTTAATACTGATGTTCCCAGTATGCATATGTTGTATACTTAACGGTATCAAACAGTTCTCTGAGGATCTGTTCATTTTCTTCTTTTTCCCTTTGTTCTTTGGATTGGATCATCTCTATCGATGTACCTCCAAGTTACTTGTTTTTGAAAGTTCAGATCTACTGTTGATCCCCTCTAGTGAATATTTCATTTTTGTTATAGTGATTTTCAACTCTGTTGTTGTTATTATTGTTGTTACATGCTGTCGAATCATCTCTGACTCACAGCAACCTTACGTACGACAGAACGAAACACTGCCTGGTCCTGTGCCAGCCTCATGATCCCTACTATACCTGAGCCTGTCGCTGCATCCACTGTTTTAATCCATCTTACTGAGGGTCTTCCCTTTTTTTGCTGACCCTCTGCTTTACCAAGCGTGACATCCTTCTCCAGAGAATGGTCCCTTCTGACAACATGACCAAAGTAGGTGAGATGAAGTCTGGCCATTCTCGCTTCCAAGGAGCATTCCAGCTGCACTTCTTTCAGGACAGATTTGTTAGTTCTTTTAGCAGTCCATGGTACTTTCAGCATTCTTTGCCAGCACCACAATTCAAAAGCATCAACTCTTCTTCAGTCTTCCTTATTCATTGTCCAGCTGTCACATGTATATGAGGAGACTAAAAATACCATGGCTTGGGTTAGGCTCATCTTAGTCTTCAAGGAGATATCTTTGCTCTTCAAGGAGACATCTTTGCTCTTCAGTACTTGAAAGAGGTCTTTGGCAACAGATTTTCCCAATGCAATACATCTTTTGATGTCTTGACTGCTGCTTCCATTGGTGTTGATTGTAGAATCAAGTAATATGAAGTCTTTGACAACTTCAATCTTTTCTCCATTTATCGTGATGCTGCTTTTTGGTCCAGTTGTGAGGAATTTTTGTTTTCTTTATGTTGAGATGTAATTCATACTGTGGACTATAGTCTTTGATCTTCATCAGTAAGTGCTCCAAGTTACCCTTACTTTCAGCAAGCAAAGTTGCGTTGTCTGTGTATCTCAGGTTGTTAATGAGCCTTTCTCCAATCCTGATGCCACATTCTTCATCATATAGTCCAGCTTCTTGGATTATTTGCTCAGCATACAGATTGAATAAGTATGGTGAAAGGATACAACCCTGACACAGTCCCTTCCTGATTTTAAACCACGCAGTATCCCTTTGTTCTGTTCGAACAACAGCTGCCTGGTCTGTGTACAGATTCCCACACAGACACCTGACTTCCGCTGGTCCTGGGTGGCTTACTGTGGCCTGCCCCCTTTCAACTCTAGGATTTCCATATGTTCTATTTCATTATTTCTCTGTCTTTATTGATGTTTTCTATTTGATGACATGCTGTTGTACCTTCTCTTGCTCTCTTACTTTAAGCCTGGTTTCTTTTAGTTCTTCTAGAGTATATGTAATAGCTCCTGTGAAGTCTTTAATTCCTACATCTGGGGCCCTCCCACAGGCAGTTTCTGTTGCCTGCTCTTTTTCCACTGTTTGGGTCACACTGTTCTATTTCTTTGCAAGTTTTGTAAATGTTTTTTGTTGGAAATTAGACATTTTAGATGCTATATTATAGCAATTCTGGATGCTGATTCCCAGTCTGCTTCTGGGATTGCTTGTTGATTTCATTTGCTTGTTTATTTGTTAGTGACTTGGTTGGACTATTTTGAAATCTGTTTCCTTCACGGTGTGCAGTCTCTAATGTCCCTCCTCAGAAGGTGCAGTCTTGCTTGGCCACATACATAGTCACCCTGGGGTGACAGGGGCTCCAACAGAGCTTCCTTTGTTTCTTCCCATTCTCTCTGGCAAGCTCGTAAGCCCTGTTGGTATCACATCTTGGTATTGTTGCATGCCGTCAGGTCTGACTCACAGCAGCCCTGTGTGACAGTAGATTCTCCCCTCAGAGTTCACCAGGCTGTAATCTTTATGGAGGTACATCACCAGGTCCTTTCTCCCACGGAGCCACGGGAGGGTTTGAACTGCCAGCCAACCTTTTGGTAACAGACACTGAACCATTGTGCCACCAGGGCTGTTAGCCTCCATTAATTGCCAGTTGATTGCTCT